AAAAAAAAAAAAAAAATATATATATATATATATATATATATATATATATATATATATATATATATATATATATACATATATATATATAAAACCAACAGATTTGACTTCATAACAAAATTATTAAATTAAAAGTGTCAAAACACCAGGCTGGGGAATCTGTCCTGGGAGAGGGTCACAAGGTACAGAACAGAGCGGCCTGCCCAGAAAATGAAGTCCTGGGAATGATTACTGGAATAATGAAAGACCAAGGGAGGCAGAGGGAAGCATGAATGCTGGAATGGCGCGTCCTTATATGCAGAACGTTTGCGATTCAGAAGCATCCACATCGCCTAGGCGACCTCCTTTTCATACATTATGGAGTCGCAGGGCTGACGCGAACCAATCAGAACAATAGTAACCCTACATATAGCCATTCTAGGCCCTTATTCAGTGCCCTATCGTGGTTTCTACTTTGGTATCCTATTAGTGTGTTCCTGAATTCTGTTTGTATCTCTGGAATCCTGACCCGACTTATCGCATTTCTGGTATTTGTAACCTGAAATTGGCTAGTGTCTGATTTAGTCTCTTTCTGCTTATTTACATCCGTCCACTCTAAGGCCTGGTAATACATATATTTCTATCTCTCCTGTTTTGTTTCCCATATCCTGCTAGTTTGGGTATACTCCCCAGGACAGAGTGCCCACGTTGACTCCTTTTCACTGCCGAAAGCGCCTTCAATGAAGTTGTGAGCATCGGAACTGGTCCTGGTCATGTGACTGTTACTTTGACACCTACCTAGAGCTTGTTGCAGACCACGCACCCCTTCATGGCAACGGTGTTCCCTGATGGCAGGATAATGCACCATGCCACTCTGTTTCAGCAGGATAATGTATTGTGCCACACTGCAAAAATTGTTCAGGAATGGTTTGAAGAACATGATAAAGAGTTTAAGGTGTTAAACAACAAATCCAATCCATGGAGGTCCCACCTCGCAACTTGCATGACCTAAAGGATCTGCTTCTAAAATATTGGCGCTGGATACTACAGGACATATTTAGAGGTCAACGCATCAGAGCTGTTCTGGCAGCACTATGGGGACCAACACAATATTAGGCAGGTAGTTTTAATGTTGTGGCTGATCAATGTAGATGTTCAATAACTCTGGTATTCATGGTGTTAAAATCAACATAACTAAGAACGATGGATAAGTGGCTGTTTTATTTAAAGCTTACTTAAAATATTAAATCAAGGCCAAGTTGGAGGGTAAAGTAGTATTTGTTTTTACAAATTTTTCAGCTTATTTTTAGTGTCTTTATTCAGGATTTGTTTTAATCTAAATTAAAATTTTATTTAAATGGACACTATAGTCACCAAAACAACTTTAGCTTACTAAAGCAGTATTGGTGCATAGATCATGCCCCTGCAGTCTCACTGCTCAATTTTCTGTCAATTAGAAGTTAAATAAAAGACAAATATAGATACAGTGTTCCTTTAGCTGACAAATTCAGCAAAAAGGATACACCAAGATGGATTACAGGGGTACTAAAAAGGGCCTAACCCTTATAACAATAATTAAACAAAAAGAAGGTGAGGAGTAAGGATCCCTTAAACATGGGAGACAGAACAACTCACAGCTAGTACCCCTTGTGGAGCAATAAACAGTGCACTTAACTCCTGTGTATTAAACAGATTAAACAAAAAATAATAAAGTTTTAATGTAGTCCAAAAAATAATAAAAGTCTGTAATACACTCAACTGTTACAAATGGATAAAAAAAGAGGACCTGGAGAGTCACTCTGGGCTGCACATAACTATATACTGTGCCTGGATACTACGTTGCCACAAAAGTAGCAACAGTGTAAAAGTAGCAGAAAAAACTATTCGTAATAGGCACCAGTGCAATAATGTGCATAGATAATTGTGCTAGCAAAACAGGTGAGATCTACACTTACGGTCCTAGAAAAACACACAAACAAAAATCTCCACTATTGTATATCAGGGTTAGGAGTATAAAGTATAATATAGCGTCCTAATGTGGGGTATAAATATGACTATTGGCCTTAGCCAGTCTAATGACAAGTGGTTAAATCGAAAGGACAGAGAGATATAGAGTTAGGAGATCGAAAAATAAAGGTGGGAAGGTAGTGAAAGTATAATTCAGTATAGGGCAAATCGCCCAAATCTGGGCCCCCACAGTTGTAGCAGAAGCCCAACGCGCGTTTCGGCACACTACTCTACCCTTGAGAAAGGCGGATTTTACCGCCGAAACGCGCGTTGGGCTTCTGCTACAACTGTGGGGGGCCAGATTTGGGCGATTTGCCCTATACTGAATTATACTTTCACTACCTTCCCACCTTTATTTTTCGATCTCCTAACTCTATATCTCTCTGTCCTTTCGATTTAACCACTTGTCATTAGACTGGCTGAGGCCAATAGTCATATTTATACCCCACATTAGGACGCTATATTATACTTTATACTCCTAACCCTGATATGCAATAGTGGAGATTTTTGTTTGTGTGTTTTTCTAGGACCGTAAGTGTAGATCTCACCTGTTTTGCTAGCACAATTATCTATGCACATTATTGCACTGGTGCCTATTACGAGTAGCTTTTTTGCTACTTTTACACTGTTGCTACTTTTGTGGCAACGTAGTATCCAGGCACAGTATATAGTTATGTGCAGCCCAGAGTGACTCTCCAGGTCCTCTTTTTTTATCCATTTGTAACAGTTGAGTGTATTACAGACTTTTATTATTTTTTGGACTACATTAAAACTTTATTATTTTTTGTTTAATCTGTTTAATACACAGGAGTTAAGTGCACTGTTTATTGCTCCACAAGGGGTAGCTAGCTGTGAGTTGTTCTGTCTCCCATGTTCTTAGGATCCTATATCATTTCATATCTCCTGGTTTGTTAATAGCTTGCTAGATCCTGCAGGAGCCTTAGGATGTGATTTAAAGTTCAATTTACAGAGTAGGAGATAAAAATCTTTAAAGTGAATAACATCTGATTGAAAATGGAACCATTTTGGTTTAATGCAGGCTGTGTCAATTACAGTCAAGGGAGGTGAGGCTAGGGCTGTATAAACAAACAAAATTGATTTAACTCCTAAATGACAAAGAATTGAGTAGTAAAACTTCAGAGGCATGATCTTTACACAAAATTTGCTTCATTAAGCTAAAGTTTATTTGGTGACTATAGTGTCCCTTTAAAGTTCTGATGGGGTATGATAGTTTTGTTTTGGCCATTTTTGGTCAAAGAATAAAGACTGAAGGAAAGAAGATTTTCAATCAAGAAATCAATAGGTAAGTAAGAAATTATTTTTTTTTGTTACAGGTAAAATGTAATTTAATTAATTTGCACCCACACTATTAAATGTTAGTATGGGGGCTAGCGAGGGTCATAAGTGGATGTGGGCTAGTGATTTATCCACTGGGATTAGCTCTATATAGCCTAAGAGTGGGCCTTTTGTGGCATTTATTTTAATTGCCCAGGAAACGCACATTATCTGTGTTCAATATTTTATTAATATCCACCTAGCAGCGCATGGGGGTGGAGAAAGAGGAGAGGCTTTTTTTCGCTAATATTTAAAGCTGCAACAGTGACATTGACTCACTATTTTGCAGCTATAATTTACAGGCTCACACCTGCTGTTTTCCTAGCATTGTGCTCTCTTAGCACTTTTGCTAGGATAATAGATTTACTTGCTAAACTTAGTTACGCTTGGAAGCCAGTCAGCTATGAATGATAATTCTCCCAACAGATACCATAACCTCTATAGTGAGTTATATTTGTTATGATGATGGTAAAACTGCATTAACCCTTACCCTAACCCTACCTCTAATTTTCTCAGATGAAATAAGCAGAGGGATTTTCCTGCTAAAACAGTAGTGGTCTGTAGGCGCCATCTACTGGTTGTTTGTAGCATGAGAGGGAGAACGTCCTCTCATTTTGCAAAGCCCAGCGGCGTTCACAGTCAGCAAGGGATTAAGGGGAGGGGAGCATGCAGACAGACCCTTTCAGAGTCTTTTCAGACCTTGGGACTCTCCCACTGGGCAGATTTAGCCTGAGAATCACAATGGTTGGGATTTATACAGATTTAAAGGTCTGTGTGGAGCACTCAAATTGGTCAGTCTCAGGCCCCAGCTGACAGAGGGGAGCCCAGGTATAAATTCTGCTGTGATCAGGAATTTAACTCTGTACTTACTTAAACAGTAGCATGTTCCAAGGGAATAATGTTAAAATTGCAAAGAACCTTTTTATGCAGTTTTCCTCTTATATAGCAAACAGAAATATTCTATTTATGGACTATTCTGTATATGTGGCTACTTGCAACATTGACAATATTCATGAAATATAGCTTCAGATAGTTTTCATAACACATCATTATTTTCACAACAGCATTGTTTATTCTCGCTTTAGCGTGTACATCAACTATCAAAAGTTGTCTTTCAGATACTTTGAGTGAGATTTTTGTAAAAATCAAGAAAAAACAAAACTCTGGCTAGCTGGTATGGGTTATTGTTATTGTAAATACCACCTCATGCCACATGAGGTTGCAAGGTGTTAAGGATGCCAGTGGTGGCTTTCTGGAGGATTCACTGCCATACCTTTCAACACTGGGAGATATGAAATCTAGATAGAGGGCCGGCCTATGGGGTAAGACCAGCGATTACACTTTTGTAACTGGAGATGTCCAAAAATGATATTCTGCAAGACAACATAATTAGCCAGGTGGTTTCATGATTAGCTTCTCCCCTATTCTGCTATGCACGCACTGCTTGGGTGTTTGAGGGCCAACTACTCCACCATTATGAATCATGGAATGGAGAAAGGTATATAGACCTTTTAACAGGTAGCTGCCCTCCTCAACCACATGTAAGGTTGAGAAAGGGGGGAGGAACTAACCAAGCATTTATGCCAGAGAAAATAAAGTCACACTCCACACCAATATATATGAGTTTAAACAATTAGTAAGTTTGTTTACTGGATAACATGTATATTGCCACTTCATTCAGAAGAACTTAACTGATTTATGCTTGTTACCTGACTTTGATATGCTCTCAATAATGAGAGTCTTTTAAAACATAAAAAAAAAATGTGTTCCTGTTTGAAAGAATACTCCAGGCACCTGGATAACTTAAATGCATAAAACATTATCTCATATGGCTTGGGAAAGGGACCCATATCAGACATCCCAATTCTCCGGGAGGTTTTGGGAGACTGCCACCTTTTGATTGCGGCTCCCTGACACCCGCAAATCACATACAATATCCTGGAAATCACATGTTATGTATATTTGTATACACTGTATGTGATACATACAATACTCTCTGAAAAGAGGCCCGGGCAGGTGCCACGGCCCTTTAAGAGCCGACAGGTCCCCTGTGATATCAGTCGGTAGGGAGGAAGTGACAGGCTTCCCAGAGAGGCATCTGGGAGGAATGGAAGGAGGAGGCTGGATCCAGGCAGCATGGAGGCACTCTCATCAGCCTCAGACAGGACCATCCCGGACACAAAGTTAAAGGACCACTCTAGGCACCCAGACCACTTCAGCTTAATGAAGTGGTCTGGGTGCCAGGCCCAGCTAGGGTTAACCCATTTTTTTATAAACATAGCAGTTTCAGAGAAACTGCTATGTTTATGAATGGGTTAAGCCTTCCCCCTAATCCTCTAGTGGCTGTCTCATTGACAGCCACTAGAGGCGCTTGCGTGCTTCTCACTGTGATTTTCACAGTGAGAGCACGCCAGCGTCCATAGGAAAGCATAATGAATGCTTTCCTATGTGACCGGCTGAATGCGCGCGCAGCTCTTGCCGCGCGTGCGCATTCAGCCCAGGAGGAGGAGAGAAGGAGGAGAGCTCCCCGCCCAGCGCTGGAAAAAGGTATGTTTTTACCCCTTTCCCCTTTCCAGAGCCGGGCGGGAGGGGGACCCTGAGGGTGGGGGCACCCTCAGGGCACTATAGTGCCAGGAAAACGAGTATGTTTTCCTGGCACTATAGTGGTCCTTTAAGCAATCAGGATGGTGGCTACAAAAATATAATGTATGAAGTCTGTCTAAGATTGTGTATGTGCATCTATGTGTCAGTGTGTATATGTGTATTTGAGCGTGTATGTGCCAGTGTGTATGTATCTGTGTGTCAGTGTGTATCTAAGTGTGTGTGTATCTGTGTGGCAGTGTGTATTTCTGTATGTCAGTATGTGTGTAGCT